TGTGCGCACTAAGGCTGTAGTTGTAGTGATTAATGGCAGGCGTGTTTCTCTTGCTTCAGCTCGATCAATGTATTCTTCAACTCCTGGTCCGTAGAACACGACAGTTGCTATGTTTCCACTATTATTGTCAAGACGAAGAGCATTATGTTATTGTTCAACAATGGAGTTTTAGAATTGATAAAGGATATATAGTACCTTAATTCTTCAAGAGTAAGTTGGAACACGAAAAAATCTTCCTGGATCTGTCTTGGTTTTGTTAAGTGCCGTATGCAGCCTGTGATATCTGATAGGAGAGGCTAATAATTAGTACATGACACTGGCAAAGAAGAACCAGTTGTGCTAACTACTGGTTACCTGAATAGCAATATGGAGAAATGGTGCTTGTGGTCACTATTGAAGCCAAGGGAGTATCGATGTATGAGTTTGTTGGAAATGGTGGAGCGTTGCGATCCTCAGCAATGCGAATGAATCTGGATGTTGCTGTGAAAGTGAGCATCAGATCTGAAGGGACACAACGCTGGGCAGGGCGTGCAGGAATAACAAATTGCTCTTTCAGAATGTAAAGATTTCCAGGCTGAACTAATTTAGAAATATGCCAAAAAACCTCTGCCTTTACGAATGCCTCGATCAATTGTTCCTGGTAGTATTGTTCGGTATTAATAAAAAGTCATGCTTCCAAGGAAAAGGTAGTTGTTTCAGAAACATGTAACTATGTGAGCAGTGTACCTCTTTATCCATCCAAAGCATGTGAAATGAGTATACAGAGTTGTCACCGTCAGAAGCGCAGTAGTTCCATATATGGAGAAGTCGGGAGACAATCTTGTTCTTGTTGATGCCAATGCGCAACTGACGAAATGAGACTGACTGAGCAATTGGATCTGTTTAAAGCAGTGTTGGTTTACCATGAGCAACAGGTAAAGAATTCAGCAAATGGCAACTGTTGGTCTTGAAAGCTAATGTGATGAGGTTGTTTGCATTAGAAATAGGAATCAAAGGGTCTTAGGCATTTGGAATGGCTTAACAGGAATGGAAACCATTTACGACGATAAGTAAAATACCTCTGGGATTTTTTGGCAAATTATACTCTGGCAACATTCTTTGGGAATGGTAGAACCGCGTTCTTTACTGGAAAAGCAGGCAAAGTGAGGCAGTAGAAGGCAAAATAATGGATTTGCGTAGTAAAAACTGGAATACCTGGTGTTTTTAATCGTTGTTTGACTTCCGATGAGGAAGATGAGGTGGACCGGCAGCGCCACGACAAGAAGCTTCCTTTTTTAGGGTTTGCTGCGGCGGGTAAAGTTAGTCGTATAAGGAGAAAGACCAGGTACTGATCGCGACAGTGGAATACAAGAGTTGGTGGAAAAACAATATGGATTTATATGCTGCTATGGGCTTTAAAATTAGGCCCATTTGCAATTAGTTTCTCTATTACGGGCATCCATTTGTTTAGGTTAAGAAGCCCAGAAATGAAGCGGGGTAAGGCTTGTCCTTTACAACAAACACAATTTTGTTGAGAGTTCCAACTAAATGGATCAACAGAGTGATGTCAGGCGTGATTTAATTAAATCCTCAAGAACATGAAGAACATCAAAGCTGTACCCAGAATTTAAGTCGTTGCTATATCTCGTTTTTTGTTTCACTTTTTACAACGAAGCTTGAACAGACATTGGAGGAAGGCGCTTTCTTTGTTGGTTCAAACATGTTATTTCAGAGTTGTACTATCCGAAATGCGAATTAATGAAAAGTTAATATAATATTGTAATTCTGTTGTTCTTATGATTAACTGGAAATCATGTCTACTGAATTGTAACACTATCTGGTTAACTAAATTGCACCACTATCGAGATCTGGTCAACCTCTGTTGAGACATGAATTGGCGCAACAGGTTTCAGTGGTACACCTTGATTGTGCAAACTCATAGATCCGCCAAGCTGCTTCATAAGAGGACAAACTCCTGCAGTCCAGGAATTGTTTGATTTCGTCAATAGATTGTGGCTGACCTGGTAGCACTGGATTCGATGAAGGCCCTGAATTGTTTTCTGCTAAAACAATAGCACGATCTGGTCCTTTTGTGATGTATTTGAATAGGTATTTAATCAGGCGCCCTTGATGACAGACTTCAACATTTATATGTGCTTGGAAAAGCACAACTAAATTCCTGTTATATGGAACCACAAATCTATTATCGAGCACTGCCCCTCCCTTTATTGACGTAACTCCAGTATCACGCCGGCGATAGACTGTATAACCAAACTGGTCCGTTGTAGTTTCTGAGTTGAACGGCTTAGGAAAATATTTAGAACACAATCCTTCCTTCATGCAAACATTTGCTGGGTTGTCAGTGCCACATGGACCATGGAGCATAAATTTCGTCACAGCTTCATAACCAATAGGATCTGTTTCTGGGTCAGGTAATTCAGCAGAAACAGTTGCGTCAATTTCAGCAGTTGTCCGCAGTTTATGCTTTTCATCCAACCATAAGAGTATATGAACATGAGGCAGGCCACGCTTTTGGAACTCAACTGTTTTTATGCCTGCATAAGGAAGAAGATCCATACATGTCAAATGACCATAGGTACTGGACAACAGCAGTTAAACAGTAGCTTGCCATTTTTATGGATAAACAAAAGAAGGTAATCTGTAACACATACACTAACCTGCAACAGTTTTCCCGAAAAAGCACGACCGACTAAGCTCATCCTCAAGAGCATTTAGCTTCATCCGGAAAACTCTAGCAACGATCTGTGGTTTGAGTTCGCTTTTTGAACCACAAATCTCGCGAAATGATTCAGTAATTTCAGGCCACTGAGCATTGCAAGTAAAAGTGATGAAGAGGTCTGGGCTGCCATGATGGTGAACAACAGCCATTGCATCTAGATATAGTTGCTTCATATACCTAGGGCTGCCAGTGTATGATGAAGGCAAAACAACATGGCCAAGATCGTCTCCAGTAACATCACCCCTATTAAAGGCATCGGCTAGACCATGGTAAAGTTCAGATCGAAGTTCCTCTTGATGAGAACGGAGATAATGAAGTCTATTTTGCTCAACTGTTGAGAATGCATCGACAATATAATGCTGTAACGCCTTGCCACCCCGAACTAATGTTTGGCCCTCATTGTCTCTATGTTGCAACCGGTAAGCATAATATTCTCGTTGAGTGACGTACTTACGTTTAAGTGTCGGTGAAGTGTGAACTGTGTCATAGGGTATCTTGGTGTGAAAACCATCCTCACCATAGGGAAACAACACTGGAAAATGCAGAGCATCAAACTTGGGATTCAGACTTGTAATTCTCTTGAGACCCTCAGTCCGGTGATCAATAATAATATCTCGGTCTTCTTTGTCAGCGACAAAATCACCCGGTACTAAGCCAGCAAGCTCAGTACCTGTTGGCAAGTCATATTGGCGATTTGGTTCTCTTGCACCAACTATTCGAAGTTTCATACTATTGGTGGGAAAATTGGAGAGTTCAGTGCGAATCCTGCGAAATGATTTGACCAGTTCATTGTTGATGTCAAAAAGCCTCATCAAACCAGACACTATATCAGGGCGCAGCTGCTTTTCCGTTGAGGAGAAGTTCGAGACCCGATCAATTAACTCAGTTTCAGGATCAAAAATATAGAGCTGAGAATATTTTGGTTTGCGACCTGGCAATGGAAGTAAAGAACCAATACGATGATAGTTCTCACCACAGATAACAAAGGAGTATGGACCGCGTGATCTGGATGCTCGTGGGTCCAACTGTGCGCCAAACGATGTGAATGAGAAAGCTGCATTATATGAACGGATGTGTTCCCGAAAATGTGCAGCCATTGGCCCCCCGTTGACACCAAGCAACTGGTTAAGATAGTCTGGCGTGTCTTGCAGAAAAGGTAGGCGGACTCGACCCCTTTGGCAGCATAATGTGAAAGTAGGCACGAGCGATCGATGCCTATTAAGCCGCTCCTCATACCAAAACCGTGCCCCACAGAACTGGCATTCACAATCAGGCATGCCATGATCAATAACCCTGACAAAATCAGTTTGTTGTGCAAGCGTAAGAGGATCACGAGACAACACTGGATCCTGAGCTTCAACCTCTGGCAGTGTAGCTTCTGCTTGATCAGAAAGATTCCCAGCTGTCTGTTCTTCGCAGAACGGGAATAGCCTAGATCGCCGATCAAAGTTACAAACACGACGTCGAGCAGGAGGGTTGGAGGGAGGCGTCTGTGGAGCAAAAGTTTGAGCCATCATGACACAGCGCCGCTTTCGCCCTTGAGAATAGGCTGTTGTAAGGTTTGCTGACTGAACAGTCGAAGTCTGCTCATCGGAAAGGAAAATTAGATACTACTCTTCATAAAGTGTAGGGGACGAAAACCTCAGCATAAATAAACTTGTTCATGATATGCGAAAGCAACAAACTGCAAAAGGTGCGAAAACAATACCATCTGAGTTTTGTAAAAGGCACAGAAAGTCCGATCATGAAAATCGAGCACCTGCAAAACAAATACGCTGCATGCATTAAGAAATGACAACCTAACTACCAAAAAAGCATGCAAAGGAAGGAAAACGGACATATTTACGAACCAGGCACCTAGAGCATTAAAACTGCAGTAATGGTGAGATAATGAGGGAAGAAGATGAACACAGGCCAAGTAAACAGACAGACAGCAGTTGTCACATACAGTATAATCGTTTGAGGAGTTGGAATTACCTTTATTGGCAAGATAAACTAATGGATGGGACAGCGAGGAAGAGTAATGATGATCTTGTACAACAGACATTTCATTTAATGCACGCAAGACAAAAGGGAAAGTAATTAACCTGCCATCAGCATATTATAATTTAACAAAAGGACAAATTGTAAACATACAGAAGGAGCAAGCGATAAAGTTAGTTCGCTGCAGCAGATCACAGGAAGAATCGAATGGAAGTTCAATCTTTGATGATGTAAGGGGAATGTAGTACAAAAGTAAAGGATAATCAAAGGCAATCGAAGGTGGCGCTACAAACGGCAACCACAGCATAATAGAAATATAGGAAATCAGTTTGAGACGAATAACATATATATCCGAGGAAGTCATTGTACGATTACATAATAAGCGTTACATGCCTGATCATCAAGACAAAAGGTGTGGCAAATATCAGACAGAACTTAAAGACAAGTCGATTGAAATACAAGTTCTGTTATGAAGTTAATACACAAAAGAGCGTTCCTAAACAAAAGCAACACTGACAACTTCAAAAGGTGGTAGAGAGCAGAATTCAATCACCATTCCAATGGTTCAGGAAGTAAACAGCTGCTTCTTAGATTTTTTTTTTGCGAGGAGAGGCAGCAGTTCCTTTTTTGTTTGGGGTAACCTGCAAGGCAGACTCTGCTGCTCGCCTGGACGGTGTTCGGGTTCTTTTTGGTCTGACCTCAGCATCAATTTCTTGAACGGAGTGCGAAGGCAGACCAGATGTAGGGGGAATACTAACAGGGAACACAGCAGCAGCAACCGAAGGGTCCAAACTATTCTGAGGCAGGGGAGTGTCATCAGGGAAATCACTATATTTAGGTATAAGCTCATCTGCAGATCCAGCAAGATGATCCCGGTGTGGAATAAGTCGGCGATGTTTAGCGACCGGAGACAGCTGCTCAACCTCCGCACTTAAAAGAAACGGGAATGGATAAGCAAGGTACCATTAAATTGAATGAACTAAACAGAAGTGCAGTGCACAGCAAGCGTACATTTCAACAAGCTCATCAAAAATTGTCTGGTGATGGGGAAAGGGAGCACTGCCTCGCCGTTCAACACGAAAAAGGGGTTCTTCATCAGAAGCAGATTGATGGAGTGTATCTTCAGACAATGGCCTAGAATAAAAACACACAAAATTAATAAGCAACCAAACCTGCCGCAACCAAAAAATGAAGAAGACCAGCGGTAGACTTGTCAACAAAATCATATGGCATAAACCCCAATAAGATGAAGAAAAAAAAAGGGCAAAGACAAACAAATATAGTAATAAAGAAATTGTACTAAGACGGGCTCAAACTATACTGATTCCATACCAAACAGGCACAGGATCCAGTTGGATTTGCTGAATATTCTTCCCATGTAATGAAGTCCTGAAAGACCCCCCTACCAACAACCTGAGAAAACCGGTACAGGTAAATGGCAACCTCTGTGAAGTTAAATGAAGGGGAACACCAACCTCTGCGGATTTGCAGACTTCTTAGGGGTACTTTTTCGGGAGCGGCCTTTTTTTTTGCTGGAGAAAGATCAACCCGAGCAGACTCAAATTGAACTGGCTCTTGTTCAGAAGAGGCATCCAATGTGCTGCTAAGAAAAGTGAGGAGGATTAATCAGTGGTCAAATAACTCTTTTAAGTTATTTTCATTCAATTTCATCACCCTTATATAAAAAAGGTATTGCAATTAAATCTGATATCAGCATATATCATCGAGTAATGCATGATGCTAAATAGCCCTCGTTGACCAATAGGTTCTGCTTCTGTCAAGCAATTTTCTAACCTAGATCATACACTAATGATTATAACGAACTTCATGAAGCTAAGTCTCAGTTTGGTTGAAAGAATGAAAAATGGTGAGAACCAATGTAAAATTATGATTGTATAAAGCATAGTACTCTGCTCATGACAGTGTAACATCTTTTCACATCAACTAATGTTCATACTTCATATTGAAACCCCCCAGACCAATTATGCAACATTCTAAAAAGTAAGGTAAGACAGGACACGAGGCTATTGAATTATTGATTAAAACCTTGTAATCCTACCAACAACCTGAGAAAACTGGTACAGGTAAATGGCAACCTCTGTGAAGTTAAATGAAGGGTGATACCAACCTCTGTTGATTTGCAGACTTTTTAGGGGCACTTTTTCGGGAGTGGCCTTTTTTTTTTCGCTGGAGAAAGATTAAGCTGAGCAGACTCAAGTTCAAGTGGCTCTTGTTCAGAAGAAGTATCCAATGTGCTGCTAAGAAAAGTGAGGATGATTAATCAGTGGACAAATAACTTGGCAAGTGTAGCTGAAGCTAATCGGAAAGAGAAGAAACCCATGTGTGGGGTGTAACGGAGGTGAGCTAAGGTTAGCTGTAGCTCTAGGCCTGAGAAGTAAAAAAAACCAAACATAAGAATCTTCAGTGCATAAATGAAAGTAAAGTACAATAGGCAGGCTACAGGCAGGTTTGCAAAGGAAGAAACTAAACAAAATAACCTAAACTGCAAGAGACGGAGACAGGTCTGCGTAAAAGGATTGCAAAAAAGGCAAAACAAATGTAAGGTAACATATGGAGGATGTGATAACCTAACGAACCTTGCATACATAACAGGAGAACTTGCAACAGAGGGATCTGAGACAAATGAAGCACCAAACCTGATAAAACAGAGGTTGAAGATGAGCACATAGAGTGTAGCTTTGAATAATGTCCAGACAGAGATAAGAGTAACCTTGCAGGTGCAATTGGGTGAACCGAGGAAGATGCAGGGTCTTGTGACGAAAAACTCCCATGCCTGTAAGGCACGAAATAAAAGAATGCAAAATAAGCAAAGAGAAGTCTAAACGCAAACACGATGAACAGGAGCAGTGGAGAGAAGGCATATGCAAATACTATAAAGTTAAAAAAAGTGCTAGCTGTTGTAGAATTAAAATAAGCAAGAATAAGCGCCTGAAACACAGAACTGGTTAAAGCCAGGAAATGCAGTAAAGCAATAGGAATGAGGACCAAGTAACAACGACTGTCTGTGAGATGGGAAAATGAGCAAGAAAACACAAGAACCTTCCAGGCGACGCTGGGAGTGATGAAGCACGACCGGGGGAAATTAAGAGTGAGCGAGACCTAGAACGCAGGAACATAACAACATAAGGGACAACAACGGTGGATAACTTCCTAAAGAAAGGTATCATCTATCAACAGGCAAACCTCGTAGCCGATGGTAACGGAGAACCAACTATCTTTGCCTGTGGAGAGGGAGGTGGAAGTCGTGGCAATGCAGGTGCAACCTGTTCGGGTTCTTGAACGGCCAGAACTGAGAATTCATACTGGCCACGCGCCAAGTACTCTGTTTTAGGCAGCTGGACATCAAATTCCAGGGTTCGATTTTCAAGAGCAAGGAGATCCGGTGGCAAATGGCCACGCTGAAACGGGAACCGAGCAGACAATTCAGGTGCCGTTGTCCCCACAAGAGCATCAGCAGCCTTACCGAGCAGAACAAAAACTGCTGACGACGTATCGTCCACGACAGTCATGCGTACCCGATAGCTGTAAAAGGGAGGGAGTACAAATTAAGAGCTAAAATGCACAGGTCTAAGAGCAGCAGAACGGCAAAGGTATGAGCTCACCAGTTTTGCGTTTGCTGGGGCTCCAAACGACGATGTTCCTCACACCAAAGATCAGGACGAATATATGGCTTGGCTGCCTTTGAGCAGAAGCCACAGCCTAAATAATACCACTGTGAGGAGGAGTCGATCGCAACCACTTGACCGGAACAATGATACCGAGTAGACTGTAGAAAGCAGCGGTAAGTCCCCATAAGAAGAGAACAGTTAAGAAAAAGAAGAGCGCAACTACGGAAACGCACATCAGGTTGGAGTGTGTCACAAAGAGCAGGCAGCTGTTCAAGAGTCTTTGTACAATCAGCCTCAAATGCAATAGCATCCTCAGGGGTGGGAAACCGGGGTGGATAATATTGCACACTGTTCCTTGCAGCAAAGAACCTGTGAAACGAAAAGATTCTTCAAATAGAGTTTTTCTAAAGAAACAAAAAAACATAAAAACACATGCTTACGTAGACTGGATCACGTGAGTCATCTCCGACAATGGATCAAGCAAGATGCGCGTTCCAGGTGTGCTATACAAAGAAAACCCGCCTAAAACAATGAGGAAAGCAAATAGCAATAAACTGTTAGCAAGTAAAGTTTGCAGGAAGGCGATTCCACGACCGGGCATAAAAACATTACCCTTTGTGGCACCAGTGACCCGTAGGCTCCCGAAACCAAGAACAACAGGTCCAGAACGGCCGAGGTGTGCCAATTCCTCACCATCAACAGCCCGAGCTATCTCACCCCATAACGTTATATCCAGCAACAGGTGACTACAAACAAAAGGAAGAGGCAAAAAAAAAACTATCAAAAGAACAAGCAATTATGCAAGAGCATTTGGAAAAGGAAAGGGAGATTAAGGACCTCTCGTTCTGAATGACAACTTCACGACGAATAGCGCTACCAAAGGATGTAAAACCATGAGAAATACCAGTAACACTGACAACCGCGCCAACGACATCTAGACGGTAGTGGCAAAAAGGAAAATAGTCAAAGGAAGGTGACCTGAGAAATAAGTAAGCACAGACGAAGCAAGCGGGCGAGAAAGCAAACCTGTGAGAAATACAGTGGAACGGATGCGAGAATGCAGCGAAGCGAACGAAACAAACTCAAAAGCATCGTTCAAAAATGTAGATTCAGAAGCAGTAACATCTGTAATCTGCGTGTCGTATGAAAGGACAATGCAGAGGTTATGGGAACACGGCCGGTAAGTAGGGCTTGGAGGCTGAACGACGACGCCGCTTATCATGTAGACATTTCCTATTTGAAGAAGAGGGGCGAAATGCTGGGCCAACTTAGCCGGGGCGATACCTTGAATCAGCGTACCCTGCGACATTAGAAGAAGGAAAGGAGCACGATTAGATGAGGAAGGAAGTCGAGAAGGTTCATTGGAGACCCAAGCAGAGGAAACAGGCGGAGGAACAGACCTCTTCATCGTTCCAGAGGGTGCAGTAGTTAAAAATGTAGGAAGGATTCTTAAGGCCATATGAACCCCAGGCATGAACCAGCCGCAGCTTGAGAAGAGTGTGCAGGCCGTCTTTTTCCGTCAGCTGGAACAGGAGCTTGTGGGTCACCATCGTCGCGGCGTAGACAACGAACGGAGAAAAAAACAGGAGAGCTGGGTTGTGTGGAAAGGGTAGTGAAATTATGCAGGGTAGGGGTAAGTAACAACAAAGGGAGAAAAAGTCGGAAGAGGTGATGTAGATGAAAGGCACCACATCGAGGCAATGAGATAGGCGGTGCGATAATCGAGTGAAGACCGAACAGAAGAACAACGACGGCAGTGCACAAAACAATGATGGAGAGCATTGACATTAGCAGAGCGGCGGTAGGAGGAAAAAGGTGAAAAGAAGAGAGGGGTGTGACCGGGAGCTGACAGGAATGGATCTCCATCAAATGGCAAGGGATACGCAGAGTGATGGTCTCGCAATGAGAGAGAGGGAGGCAGGCAGATTGATGGGTGGAGACAAAGACAGCCGGAGACGGAGCAGAGAAACAAAGAAGGCAAAAGTGGAGCATAATTATGTTTTTGGTCACCAACAAAGAACAAGTCATTAACGGTTAATTACAAAAGGGCCACCCAATGGATGTGACTCTAAGAAACAGTAATTTTGAAGCTTGTTCTTTTAAGAGTTTTAATTAGGATTGATCGATCATTTTATCCCGTATACAATTTGGAACTTAACTGCATAAGGGTTGCAATGATGGGGACATGAATGTAACCTACCTTAGGGAACCCTAAAAAATCCTACCGAACGGAGAGATTGTTGGCGAGGTGACAAAACAAACAGCCTACATGTCCTCATGGTTGAGCTGAACTGCTGCTCCAGATATTGGCAACAAAGAAGCTTACCTGCCAATTTGATCAAGGCATTCATGCGAAAACCTTCTCTCTGTAAAGGTCTGCACTATGCTGTCCTGTCCCAGTGAGCAGTTGATGCCTCGATGGGCCAAAACGAAAAGAAAAAACAATAAACTAGGGAGAAACAGAGGAGAAGGCAGGGGAGCTGCTTGCTTCCACTTTCCAGTAATATGGGATGGGCACTGCAATTAAATCCGTGCTTCTGGTTGGCAGTTGAATGGGTGAGGTAGGTGAGTGACATTTATGAACAACCCTTCCTTTCTTTACTGATCTTTAATTTACTCTTTTACAGTGATTGTCTTGTGTTGTAAAAGAAAAAACAGATTGATGAGGACCATAACCAGCCATAGTTATGATGAATGTTTACAAATGGCGTTGGCATGGCAGAGACCAACAAAAGGACAAATTTCTCAAAGTAAGAGAAGTTTAGCATTTTGTTCAATGCTTTCTGTATCAGATTGATCAAGATCGGAACATCAGTGAGGGAAAAGTTTGCGACTTTCTAAATCTCTGTACTGAAACAAGCCAAAAAACTCACACCACAGAACTCACATAATAACAATGGTAACTAATTCTATCTTAAACCATCCCAAAACTTAAGGCTGAAGCTAGGCAGCAGCTCTACTAGTAGTGTTATCTGATGCTTCAACTTCCTTGGAAGGAGTTAGAGAAGGAGGTTCAAACAAGCTAAAGGCTCTGTAAGCAGAGATGACAGTGAAAGCAATGAAGCAGAAGAGAGCCAAAGCATGGATAATCACAGCAAGCGTCATTCTGTTGCAGAAGGTGGGATAGGAGCGGCAGGCTTCGCTCCACGTCACTGTCCTGTCCCCGTAGTAAGCCAAGTACACTATCTCCGACACTCCAGCTCCAGATGTCACCATTAGGTATGCTATCATCTTCAACATCAGATTCCAAAAAAAAAAAAAAAACCCAATCAGGTAAAAGAAAAGAAATCGAAAGACAATGCAGAATCAGTGGAGGGAAAAAATGGGTACCTGGTCAAAGAGAAAGAAGAGCCAGGGTTTGGAAGCAGAGCATTTAACGAACCAAATGGACAGAGCAGCAACAAGTGCATAGGCAGCAGATATCCCACTGATCCAGGCCATGTAACTGAGGCCTTGGATGTTTTTGTAGGCAACAGGGCCTAAATCAGTGTTGTCTTGGTGGTTGGTGACAGTGAGGCAGAGGGTTGCAGCACTCAGGGGAATGGCTGCGAGTCTCAGAGATGAATCCACCAGCTTCAGCCTTGGAGCCATTTTGTCCGTCTTCTGTAATTACTCACTCACCCGAATGGACTTTGTTTTTAGTTTTGGAGATGACGATGGGAGAGGAAGAGAAGCAAGAACATAGAAGTTCAAGTATTTATAGTGGAGCTGTGAGAGTTAGAAGTGATGGACGAACTATGAAGAATATGTTGTGGGGAGGGATATGGGGTTGTTGTTGTTGTTGGTAGTGGTGGTGGAATTTTTCTCAAAGTAGTGGGGGGGGGGGGGGGGGGAAGAAGTAATGGGTCTGTACTGTACTCAATAACCCTTTCTTTCTCTTCCTTCACAACCGTTCCCATGCTTCAATATTTTATCTATATTCAGTTTTCGAATTTTGTTTTCCATTTTTTCTGTCATCTTGTGGAAAGTTTCAGAGTTGTTGGTGGAAAATTGATTAGCTTTGAGCAAGATGATGTGTTGTTGATTTCACACTGCTTTGATATTTGTTGGGTCTTGTGGTTTTCTCCTTTATTTCTTTTCGTTTTCGTTCCTCTGTTTTTTTCCCCCTTTCAATCTGTTGTACAGGTGTTGCTTTACCAAGTGAGCTAAGGTGACATAGATCCCTTTGTTGTATGGCTCAGTTGGGTTGTGTTTTGCGAGTGGGATGGGATGGGATGGATAGGAAATTAGGAACGAGGAAAGTGCTGTTTATGACCCATCACCATCATTTACATATTCGTGTCATCCTTGCCTCATGCACAGGCTGCTCAAACACACTGTTTTTCATCACGGATGAAGTCTAGTAGAGGATAACCTAACCCCCCTCGAGGACTAAGCATCCACAAACCAGCCTAGTTATTCTCCTAACTTGAAAATTTGTTAGTATATACTAACTAATATCCAAAATATATGAACTAATATTCAAGTCTGCTGAGTATCTAGATAACACATACTAGTATTCAAAACATCACAAACTAGTATCCAGATAGCAGATACCAACTAATATCCACAATCAACCAACTAGTATTCAATATGGATACTCTTATGTGTTATCTGGATACTCTTAAGTGTTATCGGGATACTAATTTTGTGTTATATGGATACTATTCTGTGTTGTCTAGATATTAGTTTGTGAATTTGGGATAATAGTTGATTCATGGTGGATATCAGTTAGCAAATTTTGAATACTGGTATGTGCTCTCTAGATACTTTAGTACTTGGATACTAGTTCATGTATTTTGGATATCAGTTAGTATCTGCTAACGAATTTTCAAGTTAGCATATTAACTTTCCCCTCCACAAACGGTTAGGTTATTGATCGTCTTCATGGTTGTTTAGCTTATTGGTTTATGTACGATCGACCCTACTCGAGTCTCTAAGTTGCGGCTAACTAATAACAGGATTAGGACGCCCCTTGTCTTTAAGAAAAAGTATTAAGCTTTGAAATATACTTGAATCTTGACTGAAAAGGCTGAGGGCAACGTTTACTTGCCATGTGAAACTAGTAGCCTTATGCTATCTTGAGTACATGATAGTTCATCACATCTTATATGAATTCCAACGGCTCTAGTTAAAGCATGAGAACTGGGGCCACAAGATGGGCCATTCACAGAGGCTAAAAAGATGGACAATCTCAGGATAAACTGTGTGTATCATCATTCATCGTCAATCATGAAAAGGAAAATAATGAGACTATGCTTTAGAAACAAAAGCTTATTTCTGGATTGGGAAAGCAAAAGATAACCTTGTGGCACTTATGGAAAAAATCCAAAACTACCATTGTTCAAAAAAAAATTTACAAAAATACCACCCTCACCAAATAATTTCCAAAAATACCATCGTTTATATAAAACTGCGCCTCTGATGAGCGGTTTTCAATGAAACCGCAGCCTAGAGGCGCGGTTTTATCACAAAGCGCGCCACCAAGGAGCGGTTTGACCTTGCATGGCTGTCAAACCGCGTGTCCACGTGGTGGTTCATTAAACCGCTCGCTGGGAGAGCGATCTAACGGCCAAAATGTGTGCCAGCTCGGCGATCCGCGTCGGCCAAGTAAACCGCGTCCCCGAGGCGCGGTTTGACTGTTCGGGAAAATCAAACCGCGTCCCCGAGGCGCGGTTTGACTGTTCGGGAGAATCAAACCACGTCCCCGAGGCGCGGTTGACTGTTCGGGAGAACCAAACCGCGTCTTCGAGGCGCGGTTTTCGTTGGAAAAAATTGACGAAATGGCCCTCGGGGACGCGGTTTGTACCCTATATAAACCCCCCTCCCCCTTCACTTTTCTGCACACCAACCTCATTCCCCCCTCTCTCCCTCTAACTTCTCCCTATCCACTCCCCTCCCCACCCAAAACCTTAGAAACGTTTTTTTGTTGGTTGCGGCCTAAGTCCGATCTGCCTCCAAAAAACTTTTCTTTGGTTTTCACTAAAAAACCGTCGAACCTCTGTCCGGATTCCGAGAGAATGGCCGATTTCGCTCAAGAAGAGGGCCTTTTTTTATGATTATCAAACGGTACGTACTCATTTTTCCCAATTGTTGTTGTTGTTATAATGATTTATTTAATTTATATACTAATGATTTGTGTTATTGTTATGCTATCGTAGGTTGGGCCGGATGTTGATATTTTCAATCAACGATATTATGTTGAGCAAGGACCCATTGATCCGACAGTTTTATACGATCAAGCAAATCATCGTTCAAGAGACGTTTGGAACGACCACAAGGTACATATTATTTATCATCACTTGTAATTTGTATTTTGTTAAAGTAATTTATTTGTTTGTACAATAATTTACTTAATTGTTAATCGTATTGATTATTTTCAATAATTTAAATCAATACAATACAACACTTATTTAGACTCTTTATGAAGAAATGCATGTCTAAGGAAATGGGGACTTAAGCGATCATCATGATCCCCCCATGACCTGGGAAAATCGGGTTCTAAGCGATCCTCGGATCCCCCCTTTTTCTGTCAAAAAGACTGTGTTTCTAAGGAGATGTATACCTCTCCTAAGAGTCTTACGAGTGTACTTGTATTGCTTTAAATTATTGAAAATAATCAATACGATTAACAAAATAATATATTTGGATATTATTTTAGTTATGTTAATATTAATGTTTATTAGACAATGTATATTTTTATAAAATCACTTGATTTAATTAATATTGCATCTTAGGAAATTATTTTACTTATGTTAATATTAATGTTTATTAGATAATGTATATGTTAATATTAATGTTTATTAGATAATGTATATGTTAAAATTAATGTTTATTAGATAATGTATATATAAATTGTATCTTATAATATATTTATATATGTATAAATCATCAACTTATAGTGAAATTTAAATTCTTCTCTAGGATGCATACCATATAGTCCGCTATAGGGGCACAACGAATGTGCTTGAATGGAACGACGTCATCTTGCCCTTTCTAAAAAGGGCAAGATTGGATTCGATTAGGCATTTCAATGGAATTAAGGTTGACCGCCAACTCATCACGGCGATGGTAGAGAGATGGGGAAAGGAGACACACTGCTTCAATTTTCGTGAAGGCGAGTGCACCATCACACTTAAGGACATCGCCATCCTTACCGATCTCCCCATTGATGGTGATGTTGTTTGTGTGGACTCTACGGCACCACCTAAAGTTGTTGTCAATATGAGTGGTTGGCAACATTTTATATGGACGGTCACCGGGTTGTGTCCGCCAGAAAAGGGAGATAACGATGCGGATGGTAATCCACCATTGTCCAAGGGTCAAGTATCCATCACGTGGTTGACAGCGGAGATCAGGCGTAAGCACAACCCTGAGTTCGGAGGGATTCCCCTCACGGAGGAAAGTTCGGAGCGCGATAAAGACATTTATGCACGTATCTACATCCTTGGCATGATCGGAGGAGTTTTCTTCCCCATGAAATCCAACAACCTAATCAGCAATTCATGGTTGAAGATCATACTTGGTAGTTGGGATGATATGGGAAACTTGAGCTGGGCATCTGCTTGCCTAGCCCAACTCTACCGATCCCTATGTAATGCTAGTGCGAGAGCGGTGAAGGAGATTGATGGGGCAATGTTCATCGTCCAATTTTGGGCTTGGGAGCATTTGCCATGGATTGCGCCGAAGGTAGACCCCGACAAGGAATGGGGACCCGACCATCCCCTACGACATGAAGCTTATGGTTGTAGGTAAATATCTTCTATCCCACTCATAGTTCTCACATTTTTTTTTACTAATTTAGTTTTTTGTAACGAAATTTTTTGAAGGTACTAACATTGTGTACTTTTCCATATTAATAGGTGGCTTGGTGAAACAACATGCGACAACCTAGGAGCGCATAAGCTGGAGGAGTATCGTAGGAGGCTTGATCACCTATGGGAAGCAGAGGTGAGCATCATAATACGCTATTAAAACCCTACTTTTTTAACTTATATTATTATGTTGATTAATGGTTTTATTATTTAAACCTTCGTAGCTTAAGTTCGATCCGTATCCAGAACGGATTGAAGCGCATCACGTCCACAAGTTCCCGTTACATCCCGGTCAATGGTGCACTCGAGTTCCACTAATCTGCCACCACATAGTGGAGTGGCACTTGCCGGATCGATGTCTACGACAATTTGGAAGTGAGCAATGCATACCATTGGATGTCCCTGAGAGTCAGAAGGGGTACCACGGGAAAGATGGTCGACAAGGACCTACTAATTGGCCGGAGGAGTATAAGTCGTTGATCCGGTTGTGGAATGTTAGGCAAGATCAGGATATTGTGACGGCATCTCATGTGGGGCGGATGGGCTACCATGACCCATACCTGGAAACCTACCGAAGACAATCTGTTCGTTACATGACCCCCGAAGGAGCGGCGGATGGAGCTTTGGTAAGAAACTAATTTTTTATTTGTTTAGTCATGCGGTGCATTATTTTTTAAATGGCTAACTTTGTTATTTTGTTCGATTTAGGTTGATGGCATCGAGCGAATCCACGACCTCGCGCGGACCGCAGATCATTCGGCGGCGGGTCGAGAGGTGGGGATGATTCGAAGGATAGCGAACAATCTCCTTGGCTGTATGCGAGCGCGCGGACGTGACCATAGGCGATACCCTCCAGTTCCCCCAGTGAGACCACCACCGGTGACGCTTGATGTTGACCCGGTGCCTCCGCCGGTCCATAGAAGGCAAAACAAAGCTATGAGGGATCGACCTCACGTGCCGGAGATCAAACCGATTGAGGCGTGGAAGGCGCCTACTCCTTTGGAGGTGTGCAGCGGTGAAGGGGGGAGTACTCAGTACGATCCCACGCCCGGAAGCCAGTATGATCCGCGGTCAAGTTTCCAGTACAATCTCCGGCCCAGTTTCCAGTATGAACAACGGCCAAGTACATTTCAAATTGTTGGCCCTTCGAAAAGCCAGTTAGTGGACCCCATACTGGCACATCTGGCGGGTCCATGTCGGCATCAACATACCAATCTTCACTTTGAATGTGATTGTAG